ACAAATTAGCTGTGTTAGCTGTGTTAGCTGTTAGCTGTGTTAGCTGGTACCAGAGCGGGCTAGCGTGCTGCTATCAACATATATCTAAAAACAAAAACAGCCAGCAGACTTGTGAGAAGAACGGCCGACCTTTAGCTCACAGTTTTTCTAATTCCTCTATGAAGTTAATTTGGCTGAGAGCTAGCAGTCATCCCAACAGCTGCTGCTCACTCATTAGTTCAGCTCGGTTCAGTTTCTGACAGTAAGCTGTTACCTCTGAGCTTCCAGACGGATGTGAGTTGGTATCTGCCAAAAGGTCTCGGTGAAAGCTGCAGTTAGTCAGCCTGGGTGAAAATTTCATCAGAGACCGCAGACAAATTGGCTGCTAATCACTGCTATTCATCCTTCATACGGACGCCGAAAAGGAGCTGGGAGTGTCTGCGCGCGTCTGCATTTAATACACATCAGCAAATATAAAGGCTATTCATGCCCGCTTCAAACGCCTGCCAAGTTGCCGAGGATGTCGTCTGTTTTGGCTGCTGTGGCAGACGACGGCGCTGCATGCCTGGGTTGAGCGCTATTTGGATCTCTGAAATTTTGAAAGGAATTCAGCACCTCCATTTCCTCTTTCATGAGTCAGTTATAGAGAGTGATAGCTGCAGGTCATGTCAGTAATGTTTATGCATATTGCCTTGTCTCCTCACTGCACAGCAGCTTCTCCCCATTTTTCCTGGCACAATGAGATGAAAAGTGACAGCGAGCGGAAAAAGCTGTGTGCTGTTTAAAAGCATATTGCACATCAGTGTGAATGCACCATATGTGATATTATTTTTCAGGAACCGTGAACTTCTATTTCCTTTTTCAGCACTAATTAAAAACTGGCTGCGTTTGTTCTTGTTCACACCAACAAATGAATCTTCCCATAAAGTTTGCAGCAGTTTTTTCCAAAGGGTACATTTAATCTACGGCGTTAAGTCTCAGTAACAGCGCAATAAGCTTCTTCTTCGGGGGACAATAAAACAGGCTAATCTCAGAGTCTAAGTACTATTTGTTCCATAATGAAGAGTTAAAAGCTGTTTGGGCTGTTTGTTGTGATCATTTTGACAGTTTCTTTAATGTGGATCTGTTTGTCTTCTGGTTTCCATCATGTGTAACACTCAGGCTTGATGCTAAAGTCTGATCTAAATCCTCATTTTCAGAGTTTTCATAAAGAATGAACA